TCTATCAAAACGTAATTTTTGATTAGTAATATGCATTGCTAAGAACTTAAGTTGGACAACTTTAAAGATGATTTTCTCAATATTTAGATTTTTTTGCACCCTCAGATTCCAGATTTTCAAATAGTTGCATCTCAACCAAATATTGTCCTATCCTAACAAACCATACATCAATGGAAAGCTTATTTATTCAGCGTTCAGATGATGCATAAATGTAAATAAAAAAAAAATGGAAACTTACGACTGGTTTTGTGGTCCAGGGTCACAAATAAGCTCCTACTTCAGAGTAGGGTCTAACACAGCACTATAGGAACTACCAGTGACGCATGCCATGCGAAACACCGGCACCCACCATTTTTAAAAGCTATGCAAACTCACAGTTTATATATTACTCCACGAACACTGAAAACTCGATAGATGGACTGACACTGAAGTCCAGGCACTTCTCGGTCCTCCATCCTCAAGTTGTTGACATTTTTGAATGCCGCACTTAAATGACACTGCTGTCAGTCGGCTATTAGTTCCAAGAGGTCCTAATAGTTCCTTTCGCTCCAACAGTAGCACATGGCACTGCTAATTAAACTAAAATGTTTAATTCAGTCACAGTCGCTTTGGGTGAAGTACATGTACCCAGTTTTCTTAAGGTGTACAGTATAGAGAAAATTGAGCATAAAAATGTTTATCATGTATAAATTGGAGAGAATGTCTCTACTCGTATGCATCTGTCTCCACCCACACCCCCCGTTTGGCCCTTTCTCCATTTGGGACCAAAGTCCTTTGGTTGCCCATAAATTAAAGCTCTTCCACGGAGCACAGCACTTCGGCAGTCCAACTAGATTCTCCAGCATGGGTTTCATCAGTCTTGTTAGCTGTGCTCGGCCAGGCAGCAGTAGTGACTGAGAATGGTCTTCCTATTCAGTGGGACAAAGCCCCAAACGAGCTTTCCCAGCTGCCCACAGTCGACGGAGTGATTCAGGTAAACCCATGGGACTACTTACAGAGAATGGCCTTGTACAAGTTGCTGATCAATTCTACCGATCCCTACATGAGATCCATGGGCCCTGGAGAGAAAGAGAGCCCTCTGTGGAGTCTTCCTCTGCAGCTAGGCTGGAAACTCAGATCAGGTATGATCTATTACCTCTGTGATGTAACAATAAGAAACAAGCAATGTCTTTTGCTTTTTATAAGAATCAAATTAGCCAAATGTTCCAGTTATGATGAATGGTTTACTCCTGAGAACGTGCAGAACCCATTAAACATGCATCTTACTGTACAGTATGTAGACTATAAACATTTAAACACAGGAACAGTGATAATGTGAATACTAGTGTGTGTGTAGGCGGTTGTGTGACATGCTTCGAATTTGATTGGAGATAAGTAATTTCCAAAGCAATCAAGACTGAACACACTTCTAGACAGCTACAGTACATGTGTATGTAGTAGTGAAAATACGTTTACGTCCCTATCCAAACTAGTTAGTTTCCTCCCCAAAAAGCACATCCCCATTCTGCAAGATACTGTGAGACTTAAAATGCAGTACCAACAAATAAAGATAGAAATATGCAATGCAAGAAAGGTATCCTAAGCCTATAGGTTGCAGTAAATAATAGAATACATACTGTGTGCTGGGACAAAAATGGCCTCACAACTTTGGAAACCTGAAAAATGTCAGTATATTGAGAACCTCCCAACAGCTTAATAAACACTATTAAACAATGGCTTATTTTTGAAAGGTTTCAGGGACAGTTAGGGGCTCTGTATAAAAAACCATTACATTGTGTGTGCGAATAATTAAAATACCTCGAAAAATAATTGGGCGAAAAAGCTGCGCTGCATATACATTCTGTATGAATGTAAATATGAATACATATGTACTTACGCTTAGGAAGTCTATATTTAAATCCATAAGGAAATTGAGCTTTGGTTGTCGCCTGTTTCAAATGCCATCTCAGGCCGGCTGACTGACCCAAGCCCTGGCAGTAGCAGCACTTGTGGATTGGAAAGTTCAGAGCTGGTTTGCATCTCTCCTCAGAGCTGGTATGCATGTAAGTGCAGCTCTATATTTGATGGATGTAAAGTGAACTGTCCCGTCTTTTCTCATGGCACTTTCACTCTCTCTAGGTATGAACTACTACATGTCCGTGCTTCCCTTCCTGGCAGCAGTTCAGACAGGTGTAGTTGGGAAGGGTGAGATTCAGCTGCACATCCAGGTTCCAGCAGAGGTGGCTCAGGATTACTGCTCCAGCTTCACAGACTGTTCCACCAGATATCCTGATGCCATGACTAAGTGGGACACATTTTTCCAGGTGTCATTTTTCTTTTTTTTTTTGTTTACTTTAGATGCACATTTAGGATGAATTCAGGTAAAACGGGACTGGGAAACCACCCTAATTAACCTGAATTCACCCTACATTTGTTCATTTAGCAGTTGCCTTTTTTCTAAAGTGAAAAGAGTTTACTTAAGACTGCTTCTGTAACACACACTACAGACTCACTACAGCAGTAAGAGCAATTATCATGCATGCACACATGGAATATTTGCACACACCACAAGACTACATAAACTCTATGTGAACTCCTCATGTAAAAAAAAAAAAAATTATAATTTTTGGTTTCACTTTATTTTGATGGTCCCTTTAACACATTCTGTTGAATATAAGTAACGTTGCACCTACATGTCTACTAATTCTCATTAGATTATTAGTAGAGTATTAGTAAACTGGTAGGGTTAGGGTTAGAATAAGTTGACACATACTTGCAAAGTTACTTATAGTCAGTAGAATGTCTGTTGGGAGACCATGACAATAAAGAGTTAGCAGATATTAAGTAAACAGTCTACTAATACTCTGATGAGAGCTAGTAGACATATAGGTGCAACATTACTTATTGTCAACAGAATGTTCAAAAGGGACCATCAAAATAAAGTATTACCTAATTTTTGACTATAAAAATGGTGAAAAACCAATGGCATCCAGTCACAGCAACTATACATAGTGGGCTCAGAAAGTCTGTGACGACATTGCAGATCAATGACAAATCAATATCTTTATGACATAAAATGAAGAATACTAAATTCACTATCTCCAGGTCAGTAACTAGATGTACGCAAACTTGTGATACTGACCATGTACCAAAGATTTTCAAACTTGTAACGCTAATTCAAGCGCATATCATCAATTAAGCAAAGAGATTTTTTTTGCTCACTATTACTCTTTTCTGTGTTCCTCTATAGTCTTTGCAGCAGATCAGTAACTCTGACGACACAGATTTCAACAAGAAGGACAAGATCCTGGGACTGCTGTGGGCAGCAGAAGAGGCATCTCTACAAACCGCCTCCTTGGCCTGCAGTGAAAGGTCCATATATACTGTATATATACACTTAATAAAGCATTCGAACTGTTGCTCAATGACATCATGCCATTCCCTTTATCCAAATATGTGTGGATATTCTTCCAGCCTCAGTTTGGCAGGTGCCTTATGTTGTAATAAGGCTTCTTTAACTCTGTGCTGTAGGCAGAAGTTGTACTCGTCTCCTGAGGTGCGCTTTGGACAGGGCTGGCTCAACTCGGCAGCATATGTAGCAGCTGCTCATTTCCATGCCAACATCGAGAAGTCCGAGAAGTACATGGCTCCTCTGCCGAGCCGAGTGCTGCAGGAGACTGATAGCCCACCCAACATTCCCGATCTCAGCGCTGAAGAGAACCACGCACTCCACATCTTCGGCTGGATGAACAGTGTGAATCAACTGCTTGGTAAGAGTATCAGAGGAAATGGAGGGAGGGAGAAAGGTTATACATTAGGGGTCCAGACGTCTGAGACCACTAGTGAAACTGCTTCAGTGCTGTAATGCATTCTTTTTTCCATTTTTTATCCACTGAATAAAATTGAAAAGGTAACTTTTAATTTGAGAAGGTCTTAGGATTTTAATGTCACCCTTCTGCTTTAATGGGATAGTTCACCCAGAGCTTTTCATTCTGTGTTTTTCTTCATACAATGAAATTCTATTCAAAATCTTGACATGGAATGTGTGAGTAAATGATAATGGAATTTTTATTTTTTGGTTAACTATCCCATTAATGACAGCAGTACAGGAGCAACATGAACAAAACCTGATGATCATGTTCTCCAGCATGATTCGAGATGTTCCAAAGAGCTTTATGGGAATTAAGAAAATCTGACCATCTCTACAAAAATATTCATTAAAATGTTTACATTTTGAATTCCAGATTGTCAGTGTGGTCTTAGACTTTTGTGCCATGCTACATGTGTTTGTTGTGCAATACACTGATGGATAAATAAAAAAGCGAACAGTGATTAGATCATGCAATGCACATTTTCGGTCGGAGACAATTTCACATGCTTTCATTATGTTGCACAGAGAGCTTCTTGGTTTGCTTGTAGAAGAGCACAACTGTTGCAAAATGAAATTTTCACACAATAGTAGAGTGATTACCAGGCTAAGTTTTTTGACAAGTGACTATTTGCTATATCGACCAATAGAAATGAAAACATCCAGTCTCAGGCCATGCAGGTGATTAAGATAATTATTTAGAATTTTTGAAGTTGTATTTATTCATTTTTAAACAGGTGGTTCCCTCGTGAATCTCTGGCGGAGAGCGATGTGTTCACCTCAGGCTCGGGAGAAAGGTCAAGGCCTTCTTCACGACCTCATTCTTGACCCCAAGTTCCCTGGTACCAGTCTGATGGCAATCCTGACCGAGATGACCACCAGCTGCTGACACATCATCTGTTAACAATCTCTAATAAATATAAAAACTGGGTGGAATAAACCTGTTTAGAGCGGTGTACATCAAACAGCTTATTAATCTGCAGATGTTGGCTGTGTCCATAACAACGCAGCATCCCAGATATTTTACCATGACAGTCAGTGTAAACACAGCATTTATATCTTTAACAAAATAAAAACAGAAAAAAAAAATCAAACATGGTTCCTTTCCATCTCCTTTATTCAAAGTAAACCAGAAAATGTGGTTTCTTTCTCCACAAAATAATGTAAAAAACAAAAAAATCACCCACTTTCAATTCTATGATATATAACCAAACTGACCTTTTTTAGGTCTGAGATAAATATAACCTTAAACTAAACAAAAACTATTGATTCCTCTGGCATCAAAAACAGCTGTCACTGTGGCGGTACCCTTTTAAAAGGTACTAATATGTACCAGTTAGGTACAATGTGTACACTTTAGGTACTAATATGCACCGTTAAATAAAGATTTAAATGTATACCTCTTGAAAAGGCACCACCCCAGTGACAGAGTGCATGATCCACAAGCCTTTCTCTCTAAGCATAGCTGCAGCCTGGAGAGATACAAGGGAGAGATTCAGAGACTTGAATCAACAGCTGTGTTGTCATTGCATTTTTGTCCAATGCCAATAAATGTAAACATTTTGAATTCAATTTAAATTCCCATCATAAGCCATGTTGACGGGGGTGGCATTTCATAAAAGTCATTGTAATACATTAACACTATTTGTCGTGCACACCAATGTGACAGCAGGTTAAAACAACACAGCCTTGGACGCATCGGTAAACAGAGGCTAAACTGAGCTTTTGGCATCTGTACAGTGATGTGCATTTAAGAGCAGATTGTGATCCAGTCCGTTGTAGAACCACCTTTAAAAAAAACGTGGCTTAGAGAAATCGATTTCTGTATGATTTATTAATATCTCAGATCTGCAGCCCAAATGGGTTCTTTGTGGTTTTTCAAAAAGTATTAATAATATTGTGTGGAATAATTGGAGTGAATTTGCTAGTAAGCCCACTTCTGTGAAGACTTTGCAGTGTTCTGATTTGTATATTTGGAATGATCGACGCTGTTTTTTAAGTAGCAATCGCTTCTCTGATGATACACAACTATATACTTCAAAACAAAACTGCTTTTTCTTTAAAAATTCTGCTTTTAAAGAAGTGGCCACACAGATCTACAGGTTCTGGCTGCTGAAATGAGTGTGACTTTCTTTTTATTGAATAATGTGTTGCCTGGGCGTCATATATGGTAGGGAGTAAATCTATGTATAAATATGACATAAAATTGGAAGATTATGTACTGTGTGCTTCACCAGAAGGTACTTATTACCGTTTCATAACAAACAGTATACCAGTTAATACAAGCACCATAATATCCAATGGATCTTGCACACAAATTCAGGGGGGAAAAGGATTTGAACGAATATATAACATGCAGTAAATCAGGGTCAGACCATCAACTGACCAAACAAAGACGATGCTGAACTAATGTACTTTAACCTGTTCACTCCAAGCTTGGCATTAATCCCATTAAGAGAAGCATTTCCAAAAAGCCTCATGTCTGCTCTCCTACAGGGCTAATAAGTACATTTTTGCTCTGGGATTTGAAAACATGGAAGACCTTAACCTAATAAATGATTTGCATTCCATCAGATTTATAGTAATGTGATTATTAAATAGACTTTGGCCATGTCAGTCACGTCATGTGAAATTAAAGCAAGTGGGTTTGGAACATAGCCATAGTGAACTCCGTGTGTGTTGAACCATGTTGTGTCTTCGTAGTATACTTATATTGTGTTACTCGGTTTTCCTTTGCCCATGTTAATGTCTTGCTCATTGAATGTCCTCCTTATACTGTCAAGCTGATCTTCATCTATGTATTCATAATCATGCACATCATTGTCGTCATCTTCAAGTTTTGTGATGGATATGTTGTCCAGACTTCGGCCCTTGGCAAGATCTGAGGGGGAATCAAACGCCCACTCAAAATTTGGATGAGGACAACAAGGACACACAAGCTTTAAAACACAGCCGGTTAAAGGTGAAGTGTGTACTTTTTCCTTTTTTTTCAACAGAGCGAGTCTGGGGCCAATGGCAGGTGGAGCAAGTGTTCAGGGGCCTCATTTATAAAACGTGCGTGTGCACAGATTTGATCAAATTTGATTCAAGCGCGTGTTTCTATGCAACATTTTATCTATGAGGCCCAAGGACACCTGTTTGAAAACAGTCATTATTTTGGCATTTTCAGTTGACGCTGAAATAACACACTTGCACTGATAAACACTGAAGAGGGATGTAGCAGAATGTTCCTACCTTTCTGCAGGGTAGGCTTTGGGAAAAGGACCGGACTAATGGGAATCTTTTTGTCCTTTCCATTTTTCGAGTCACTGCATTGCATGAAGTCATCTTGCTTAAAAGGTTCAACACAATGACTCTGTTACAGGGATGAGAGAACATTATGAAATTACACAATGTATAAGTGAATATAAAAGTTCCATTTCAGTTTTTTTTTAATGTAATCAGTCTTTTCAACACTCCTAGTACAAATCATGGACAAACAGATCGTCAGATAGCAGATTTTGACTAAACGACTTTTGAGAGTTTTGGGAAAAAAAAAACTATTAGTGAACATAGCACTAAAACAAATAAACAACAGCAACAAAACCTGTTGAGGAAAAACAGGTCTCATTTCAATTAATTTAACTATGACGTCTACACATTACATTAAAAATGTATGTAATGTTATTTAGCAGTATATATTGCTTTGGAACATAAGTATCATAGTGCCATATAAAATACGTAAATACATTCATGTGGTACACATGTCATTATAGTCCAGGCTTAAAATGCAACAATCAGTTTTTAACAACGCATCCCTGCTATGTCTGGTTCAGTTCTTATTGCATTGTCTTAGTAAAAGAATCCACTAGGAGGCGCCTAGCAGTTTTATAAGCCTTCTACCATATTACAGTCCACCTCACTGTTAAATGAGCTTCTCTGATATATCAGTGTGTGGGATTATTTTCTGCAACTGTTCAGTGAGGGGTGTTTATTAATGGTTCTGTACATACAATTAATTAAATGTGCATTTAAAATGCAGATCTGCATGCATATTCAGCTTGTTCCATATGTAAGGAGGTCTCTGAAAATATTCTGACATTATCAGATTTTTCACATTTTGTTTGTTACACTTTCAGATTTCACACATTAAAATTATTTTCAACAATTATTTAGAATATAATGCAATGTTAAATCATTTAAGAGAATTCCTATCTACACAATGCATTTCTCATTTACAAAGTGTAATCAGTGTGAATGTCTTCCGCTTCTCTGGATATTTTCACTGTGTGCATCGGGCCATTGTCTTGCTGGAAAAATTCTTTGATTCTTAAATGCAGATCTCTGGCTTCTTGTTCACTTACGATAACGGCATGTGTTAAATATGTGTTAAATATTGAATGTTGGTAACTATAACATCCTCTGCATCTCTGTGTGAAATAAGATTGCAAAATAAAAGCATCTCATCATGCGTGAATCATGTATGACACCTTATGTTTCATAGACCATCTGCTTGTAATTTACAATATCTCTAATCTGTCGAAATCTAAAACACACAAGTAGTATAAGTATTTATTATGCATCTTCGGTTTTGCTTTTTTCTTAATTATTGACAGTAATAATTACAAAACAATTTATTATTTTTTAATTGTTATCTATCATCCAATATCCATGTATTGTCTGAATGCATTAGCAGATTTTTTTTTTCAAGTTAGAAAATATCTGCCATCTGTCACTTAGTAAAGTAGATTTATCTTGTTTTAAAGGTGCTGTATGTAAGTTTTTGACTCCACTAAAGCATAAAAATACCATAATATGTTTGCAGATATTTAAGAAACATGCCAAGTTAACATATTTGTTTATCTGAAAAACAAAGCTACAGTCAGTTATTCTCTTTTGAAAATGTGCATTCCGGGCCGGAAAGTCGGTCTCTGTTTTGGTTTGTAAAACCCGCCCACTGCCAGTTTACCCAATTGTATTTTGGCACCCCGGGATGCCAGTTGGTGGGAAACACAGCGTATTTCATTTCAGTAATGGAAGCTGGCAAACGAAAGTGTTGGTGTCGTCAATCTGGCAACCTGCGTGTGCGTCAAGTCTGAGGAGGAGGGACCGGGTGAAAAATCCCCTCTCCAATATTTTGAATTTGGACTGCAATACCTAGTTCAACCACTCGGTGTCAATCCTACATACAGCACCTTTAAGGATGTTTAAACTCATGACTTAAAGTCATTTTTGCAGTTTAGCTTATTGACCATACCATGGGTAAATTTGACATGTATTTTCTTTTTTTTTTATCTTAATGCTTTAGTATTTTGTACTTACAAGTGTTCCGTGAATGAAACTTAGCATGACACTCTCCTATCTCTACTCTCTCACCAAACCTGCAGTGCACACAAGCTCTTAAATAGCCCCTTAAATGATTTACAGTAAGCAGTTTGAGTCTCACGTAGCCTCACTTTTGATTATTTCCGTGAAGTCAGGTCCACTTTACAGCTTATTCTGGTTAAGAAACACATGCCACCCAAAGATCTCATTTGGCTACTTGCTTCTATGGGCTTTAAACAAAATATTCTCTCACAAATGTGAAGCCACAAACTTTGGCAAATCCATGAGCTACTTTCAAACGCAGACTGATGAAAACATAAGTACCCTGACTCAAGAATGTTGCACAAAGCCGTCAGACTGGAACTGGTGATTTCAGCCAGCTCTAGTCATTTCCTATGCAGTATGCATCAGATGGTCTGTGAATGGTTTATGGGTGTGCCGTCCAATGGTGTGGTCACAAAATACAATGAATCATACAGGAATAATGATGGCGAAATAAACATCCTAAGCTATTCTACCGGCTAACAAGCCAATGAACTCTAAATAACTGCTTTATTAACAGTCTCTTTTTTTATGGATCATTGTGGATCTTCAGTTTTGCTTTGTTGCTAAATTATGAACATTCGCCGAACCTAGAGGCTTGCTATTGCTTGGCACAGCAAATTTGGGTGTCATAGCTCACCAAACGTGCAAAGGGATGAAGTGTTTTGAGCGTGAAGTCTCTAACACAAAATGCAATGAAATACAGTTTACCTGTGGAGAGCAGCTGGAATTCTCACTGTTTACGCTCTCAGATCTGGATGACAGCATTTTGGGAGGTCGTGGTGGAGGGTCTTTGGGTTTTTTGGGAGGCCGTGGAGGGGGTGTGATGGTAGTAACGGCGTACCTCCTGAGTGTGTAGTAACAGTCCTCTGAGATCTCCTCGATGGCTGAATTTCCACTACATATTGGACTCTCGCCATCCCAGCGCTGTTTTATGTTGAGGATCAAGTCTGCGCGATTGACTGGCACCTCCCTGATCTCTGACAGCTCAGAGTTTGAAATGAGGAGGCAAGGGTCAGAGATCTCCTCCTCAATGTGCAGACCGGGCGCTCCAGCCAAAACGTCCACCTTCAAAGAGAGGTCACGCACAGACACATTGACGTTGAAGGGCAGCGGGAACCATCGGCATATTTCCGCAATGGTGTATTGACGCTTGTCTTTAACAAGCTCCATGAATCCCCCCTCCAAACACACGGGGAGGCGCACAGGCTCCTTCACCTCTGTCTTTTGGCTTTTCTCTGTAACTTTCAGACATTGAAAAGCATCAGCTGCCCCCTTGGTCCCATTGTGTGAAAGCGCACAGCTTTTGCCTTTCGTCACGATGAACTCATCTCCAGCATTAACAGAAGCGAGCCCGTTGTACACGGACTCAAACTCCCTGGTGGCGACCACACGTATCTGTTCGGTCTCGCTGCGCGCTCGCTCCAGATCATAGGCGGTGGGGAACTGCCGCGGCCGGCGCTTGAAGCGACCGTTGTAGGACTCCGGAATAAGAAAGTGTCTTGTTGATTCACGGCCCATTTCCGAGGCCAGTATTCGCTTTGCAGAAAAAGCATGATGAATGATCACCTGTTTGGAATGGAAAAGCGTTTCCAGCTCCGGCGAAAGCTTGAAAGGTCTTTCACATGACAACTTGGCCACCACAGGAAAAAACTCTGGAGGCCTCTTGAAAACGTCCATAAGAGAGAGAGGCTGCACAAAGGAGTCACAGTCAAACTGTTCGGTGACATCCACCACCTCCACGTCCAAATTTGACGGGATAAGCAGAATTTTCTCACTGACTGTGGGAAGAAAGAGTAAACACAGAGGACAGACGTGAGCAGAACAGGTTTATGTGTAAGCCAATAATTACCTGAACGCTTTCATGCACAAATTGTCCCATTGAATCGAATGTGATGGTTTATGTACAAATGGATTTATAAACATTTTTACAAATGTTACGTCCACAGGGACATATATTTAATTTGCTGCTGGTGTCCCTGTGTTTTCTCTTTGTTTCTCCTTGTTGCTCCTCCCACTATCCACTTCACAGGTTTGGGAGTGCCACCTGATTTGGGTTCCAGCTCATTAAGGTGTGAGCGGAACAGTATATAGCAGGGGTGTCCAAATTGGAGGTGGTAGGTTTAGGGGTGGAGATGGGTGGGTTTAGGGATCAGGGGGTGGAGACGGGTAGGTTTAGGTATATGTAAGGTGGGAGGAGTTGGATCTGGATCCAACCTCACTCCCTGGATCTTGTGTTCTGCAGTGAGGACCATCTCCCTGGAGGGCCGGTGTCTTGCAGAGTTTAGCTCCAACTTGCCTCAACACACCTGCCTGAAAGTTTCTAGTATGCGTAGTCAGACCTTGATTAACTAGTTGAAGTGTGTTGAATTGTGGTTGGAGCTGAACTCTGTAGGACACTGGCCCTCCAGGAGCAGGATTGGACACCCCTGGTATATAGGAACCCAGAGAGTTCCAAATGGGAGAGAGGCTTTCATCTGAGAGACTGTCATCTTCCGGTCCCAGCACTTGATTCTTTTGTTGTGCATGTTATTGTAACTTGTAGTGGTTAAGTGAAAGTTATGCTGTGTGCTAACTTAAGTATGGCAACTCTGTGTTTATAGTTACCCTTAACTAGTTGAAGTGTTAAAGTGATCACCTTGGTTGTGTGTATCTGTGTAGTCCTGGCCTGCGTGGCCAGATTTTCGTTTAAGTTTATCTATTGTTGAACTTCGTTATATCTTTGTTGTGGGATCATTTGTAGGGAGGAGGATGCCATTTAATTTGATAATTCATGTTTTCTCCTGGTTTTTAAAAAGAGAGGGAGTAAGGAAAGGATTTGTCTTTGGTTTCTTTTTCTTTTGAAGCTAGGTAAGTTATGTACACAAACCCTCAGTAAGTGTATCTTTTGTTTGTTATTTTGGCCATTTCCCTTCCTGGAGTCTTAAGTTTGTATCCCACTGATTACCTAAAATAAAGCCTGTTATATTTTTTTACTTTGAAAGCTGGTGGTGTTGTAACTTGTGCTTGTCCTGGGACCTGGAGATGGGAGTTCTCCCACTCTCTCCTTGCAACTTTTGTTACCCTCCTTTCCCTCCCCTAGACCAAAAAGGGGGATCGTAACAAGTGGGGGCTCGTCCGGGATTTGAACCCGAGACCTCTCGCACCCGAAGCGAGAATCATACCCCAGACTCTCTCTACTTGTGTTTCTTGAATAAAGCCTCATGGATTTTTTTCAAGCTAATCTTTTTTTTTTATTCATCTGTAATGACCGAATCACACAGCAAAAACATTTACAAACCCTAAAATTAACCCTGTTTTTTTATCATGTTTTTATTTTTTATTTATTTATTTTACACAATAAGGTCCCTTTATTTAACATTAGTTAATGCATTAACTGACATTAACTAACAATGAGAAGTACTATTTGCAATTGTTTTTATTTACTATAATTAGTTACAGTATTTATAAATCTTTATAACGTTAGTTAATAAAAATACAACTGTTCATTGTTAGTTCTTGTTATATCAGGTCTATAATATGAACAGATACAACTTTTCATTTTAATAATGTAATAGTAAATGTTGAAATTAACATAAACTTAGATTAATACATGCTTTAGAAGTAGCTATCAGTGTTAGTTTATGTTAGCTAATTTAGTTATGTTAACAAACGGAACCTTATTGTGAAGTGTCACCAAAATCTCTAAATGTCCTGTAAATAAGATACATTTACTTGAAAAGTAAAAAGCATTATATTATCTCTTGCTTTCAGAGAAACCTAACTAAGATTACAGTAAAAAGAAATATGGCAGAGGTGTCAGGAAAAAATAAAAACAATTCAAAGGGAAAACAAATGCATTTTTCTCACACCATTGACAAATAATTCCTTCATGATTTAAGCATAAAGCTCATTTAATTTTGTTGAATTTCTCTGTAAACACGACTTAATACATCTTTGGTTCTTTTTAGGGAGTTTAGACATTTTTACAGGAAAACAAGCCAAACAATATACCGCATGTTGGGCTATAATCATGTTATTAACAATATTTGTGTAGAAATGAAACTAGTGTCATACTCACGCCTTGTAACAGCCTTTAGTTCATACACAGGGGTCAGCTTCAGCTCTCCAAATACATTCTCCAGCAAATTCGAGAATAAGAAGTCCTTCTTGGGAAGAGTTTTGACCTCGGTTACAGTCCTCTTTCTGCCTTTGGAGATTTTCCACTCTGCGATCTCTTTCAGGGTATAAAACTGGTTGTCCTGGCACTCTGTGAAGTGGCCTTGCTGGGAGAAGCTCAGGCTAAAGCAGAACTTGGGCTCTCTGTGTAGCAGCTCACATTGCACACGTCCACCGTTGAGCTCATGGGTGACGGTAGTGATTCTGAAGCTGTCTCCTTCCCTGATGACGCCCTGCGCCAGCTGAATCTCTGAACCGCTGAGGAAAACGGGCTGGGACAGTCTGTGGGAGCTGATCTTGAGTGAGTCAGCTATCTCTTGTATGCTTCGGTACGGCTGACTGTCGGCCAACAGTTTGAACAAACCTGACACATAGAGCACAAGGTTAAGAGTCACTCCAAGAACCAAAAGTGGTGACAACATACAGAATGTGGATTATAATAAAAATACAAACACATTAACGTTTGTAGTGAGTCATTAACAGGCGCATCATACACCAATTATTTTGTATGGTGCATCAAACAAAGTCCTGTAAGATATGACCAGTGGAAAATACCAATCTTTGTCCACTGTCCACTATATCTGACTTATCCAAGAGAAGACAGAGCTTTTCATCCTTAAGGCGTTCCACCACTCGGCTAAGATTGTCATGGAAATCACACTATAGAGTTATGAAGAGCTGCTGACCATCACAGATCATAAAGACAGTAGGATCAAACCTCTGCACATAACTGGTAACGCAGCAGTGAGTTTGCTCTAATGAACCTTGCATCTTTGCATATTAGTCGCTGTTCACACTTTAGTTTATGGACCACTTCTCACTATTGACTAACTGTTAATTACGCCTTTTGCCTTATTAATAGTTAGTAAGGTAGTTGTTAAGTTTAGGTATGTGTAGGATCTAAAATATGGTCATGCAGAATAAGACCTTAATATGTACTACTAATAATAATATGCATGCTAGTTAATAGTGAGAATTTGTCCTTAAAATAAAGTGTTGTCTATATTTGTGTACAGAATGTTTTTTTGTGTATTTGTGTGCCTCTGGCTCTGCACCATCACACTTCCCCTCACTTTTACTCCTCTCCTGAAGCCCGCAGTCGCTGAGTGAGCGACACTTCATGATATCATCAGAGACACAAAATCACTTTTGTGAAATGTCGTTGTTCTTCGCTGTCCTACTAGAACAGCCAAGCCCCAACTTAAGAAACGGGATGATTTTAACATGACGTGAGTTGTAACACTGTCACTTTAACCTTTATGAAATGGTGCACATGAATAAAATCACTATCGTACATAAGCACCACTCTTCTGAAGTTCAAATAGAAGTTGTAAGGCACTGTGTACAAATATGTGACCCTGGACCACAAAACCAGTCATAAGGGTCAATTTTTTTTAAAATTGTGATTTATACATAAATACATGTAGGATGTATGTACATGTACACATTAGGATAGGACAATATTTGGTCGAGATACAACTATTTGAAAATCTGGAATCTGAGGGTGCAAAAAAAATCAAAATATTAAGAAAATCGTCTTTAAAGTTGTCCAAATGAAGTTCTTAGCAATGCATATTACTAATCAAAAATTAAGTTTTGATATATTTACGGTAGGAAATTTACAAAATATCTTCATGGAACATGATCTTTACTTAATATCCTAATGATTTTTGGCATAGAAGAAAAATCGATAATATGACCCATACAATGTATTGTTGGCTATTGCTACAAATATACCCCAGCGACTTAAAACTGCTTTTGTGCTCCAGGGTCACATATAAAGAATAAATATATGCAAAAAAAAATTAAGGTAGGAAAATTAAAATTCCACCTTATTTTGTAATTTAATGCATTTTATGTGACAGAACTGGCATGACCAGAAGCAACAGATTATCTTATTTAGTTTCATATGTAACATTCATTCAAAACATTCACCATGTGACACGTAGACACGTAGAATTAACGTGGATGAGCAGACAATGAGATTTGCAACATGACTTCCTCCATTTACATCTTTTGGACCCACAAAGACTGAACAAAATGGAAAGCCGACATCTGACACGACTGTGAAATTAACATACACACGCATACTTCAAAATATGTTTTTATTGTCGTTAGACTATGTTTTATGTATTTGCAATTGTTTTATGTATGTGAACGGCTTGCTTTATGAATAATATGAATACTTGAATGAATACTTTTTAAATATTTAATTTTAAACATTTCAATTTAACCATTGATATTAAACGAGTTAAAATCAATTCATTAACAAAACAAATGCATGTACACATTTTCAACCGATGACAGGTAAATTGTAGATTTCTGTAGCAAATGGAATCAGTGGAAGGTGCTTCTCAAACGGACTGATCAAGCTTAGCTATTTTCGGTTGTTTTAAACAGACATATTTTAACCAACAATAACCAGATCACTTGCTAATCACAAGTAATACCTGGAAATTCCACAGGAATCTCAAGCTCAGTGTTGCTGGAGGTCTGAGCAGTGAATCTGGTGATGGTGATATCAATGACTTTCAGCAAATCTCCCGTTGAAAGAGAGCACTCTCTTCCAAACATCTCATACACGCAGCCTGAAAAAGAACCAATTGTTAAAGTGTTTAAAACACATTGAAATACATTATAAACCTTATATAGCATTCCAATCCATTTAGTTTCGATTGCAGTAAAACTATTTCATCACAAGCACTGGAGTGCTATTGTGAGCAGTTAAATGACATTACAAAAGACATATTACAGACTAAAAGGAACTAGAAAAAGATCAGAAAGAAGTGGGTTTCCGCTCGGCATCATGTGGTTTGAAAATAAATGCAAATTTGTTTCTTCAACTGATAATTTCAGTACTTTTCTTGCTAGTTAGTTACCTCTTAAACGTTTAAAAGTTATATGACATATTTGTGAAAGCTGCTATTGGTTCATATGTAAAAACGTGCCTGTCTTCAAAGCTTAAACACAAATTGTGTAATAGGATTATGTTGCCTGTTTTGCCTTTTATGAATTTTTTTTTTTAAAGCAGCAAACCTATTATGAATAAATAGTATACATTTTTCACCATTTCAACCAATAAGTGTACACAAGCGGTTCTAGGCTTTACAATGTTGGAAATGCATAATTCCAGCTATTATTTGACTGTGAGGAGCAGATGAATTATGAGCAGGTAACTCTCCAGTTTTACTCTTACCTTGACAATATATTCCTGACTGGATCTGAAGCACTCTGGGGAACATTTTAGGATCCAGAACCTGCGTGAATTCATGCAGCGTCGTAGCCATCTTTTGCTGTGCTTTTACGAGGAGACGTTTTTAAAGCTCTGGACGGGCTGAGAGACGTGGCTCTGTATCTCGTGAATCCATAAAATGGAGGGCTAGATGGCAGAGGAACTCCCAGGATGCCCTTTGGCCCTCCAGACGCCCCTTGAGCTCAGCAGTGCAGACCGAGAACGAGACTGTGAGGCATCCTGCGCAGCGGAGGAGGACAGGAAGCCGAGTGCAGCTCGAAGACCACAACTCAATGCATTAAGCAAAGCTGCACCGGGTATCTGCAAAAAATACTATGACATACACAAATCCCACATCCTCTGCCTGACTTCATGACACCAGAGCCAAAACAATGCGAAAACAACAGGGATCCAAATCACTGAAACAATGATCCATCCGACACCACTGTTTCATCACATCATTTACTCATTTTTATAGCAATATTGTGGCATTTTCAAAGCTGGGAAACCACCACTACATTTTGAACAAACCACATTTTAAAAGTATCCAAATTCATTCCAAATTGGAAGAAACTAATTCTTTAACACATCTTTTTTTTTTTTTATTCAAAGTATTTTTACTATTTGACATTGTAATACAGCCATAAAGCCAACAACTACAGACAAAAAATACATAAGTTATTATTTCACATGATGGATTTTTTGTTGCTGTTTTGCTTTTTATAAAACGTATGATCAGCATCGATACAGGCTGCATCTTTCTTCTTAAATTGGCTTTGATCCTAAATACACTAGAGTCTAATACTGTGTATATTTTTAATGCATACACTTCATTGTTTGTGTTTTTTTTTCCCATTTCCAGCACAATACAAATGTGAAAACGTCAGAAAAAATAGAGCTCTTCTCTTTTCTGCTCAGCAAAGGAATAATTCACAATCAGTTACGCAAAACAAACCACGATAGCGTGTAAAAGATAAAAAAAAACAAAAAAAGAGAAAATACAATTTTCAAATACAACAAAAAATAACACTACTTAAATCTGTCTCATACATAAAAATCTACAAAGAGTGTTTGCAGTGAAAATTTCAGCCGAACGGGGAATGATAATGATTGTTTTGAGCTTTCAAAAATGCAAGTAAACAATAAATACAAACAATGTGCTTCATCCCTATAGACATATTTACACAAGTCTTTGGCTTATGGTCATCGTCTGCTACTAAAAATCAAAAGAACACATAATAAGCCAGCCATTAGTGCGGAATGCAGTCTTCTCGAGCCAAAGTCACACGCTCTCGATCGATGGATAAACATGTGTTTGTCTTTTCAAAACAATGTCCATTTATACTAGTACTACTATATATGGTTATTATTAACAGGAACAGTGACAGACACAAAGAAATAAAGAGCGTCTTCAGCATGCAACAGCTCGGGCTTACTGTTTCAAATGGCTGCACAAAATAAAAAATAAAAAAAACGTTTATATTAAAAAAACATGACCGGGTGGCTGGCACTTGAATGTCATGAAAGTCAACACAGATGCACAAATGGCCAGAGCCAGATCATAGCAAAAGCGGTACTGCTCCTGCAGAGCGAGAGGGAAATTATGAGCTTTACACAACACACTGGCAATGATGAACTTAAAGCAGAGGCAAATATGAGCTTGACTGAAGCACAGGCTGACTCTCTGAAGAGCTGCAGAGGATGTGGTGAAGCTGTTTGAGCCATGCCAGATTATCATGAAATATATATCGAGCCCTGATAAAAATCTCTCTTACTTACGCTAAATGGCCAACTAACATACAAACATGAATTTCTAAATAAAAAAAAAGAATACAATAAATAAGGAAGAATAAATTATAAAGTATAAAATAGATTTCTTTTTATTTGTTTTTTAAAAAAAAACATGGGCTTTATATGATGATTTTTTTGTGTTAGATTATTATTCAATGTTATATCTTTACACTTCTATTTGCATTTATTGTGAAATTTCAGTGCTTGTTATAAAAGTCAACACATTCAAAAACTATTTTTTTCCTAATCAGTACTTTTTTCGTTTCCAGTAAAATATCTCAGCACCCTTAAATCAGGATAAATTGACTTGAGATGCTGTGTTTTCAGAGAATGTATTTTTCTCAGCTCTCACGTGGCATTATATTACATGTGTCCTAAAGCAAGAAAAATCTGTTTGCCAGTGGAAGATATTTTTAGTCTTGCACACAATGTTTCTTAAGTAAATGTATCTTGTTTTAAGGATGCTGGGATATTCAACAAGACAAAAATGCAATGAGGTACAAATACACTTTTTTTATGGTGACATTGTTGCACTGTGATTACTCCAATAAGTAATATTAATTCATGTTGCTCATGTTCTCACTGTAGTGTTAGGATGAGGGTTCGGTTTAAAGTTAGTTACTTGTAATTCTGTCGAATTTACTGTTATCACTATAGTAAGTGCATGTTACTATGTGGCCTAAAAATGAAGCGTTTCTCCAGTGATTTGCTCTGCCTGATGACGCTGCTGACAAAAGCAGAATGAGTGTAGATATTAGTGCATGAGGTCTGTTCATACCGGGCTGTCCACCATATTTGGCTTGCTGTTCCTCAGACTCTTCACAGCATGAAAGACGTCTACAACATTCTGCCGCTTTATCATTTCACACACAATACTGATGGCACAGAACATCCCACTGCGGCCGCCTCCGTTCCTACAGAGACAGAGAGAGATGAAGAGACACACGTGTGACATAAGGTGTGTGTGTGTGTGTGTGTGTGTGTGTGCGCTGCAGCACACAGAGACGTCCTGTATCCAGACTAACATTACACACACACTGTAGTGCAGCGTCAGTTCTGCTGGAGAAAACCTGCTCAAGAGCAAAGACAGATCTTTAGAGTCTCGTGCTGCCAGACTTTTGAGCACTTGACTTTTTTCTTCACTACTATCACATTACAGGTTTGCTCACTGGGGTTTCCCTTGTGAAAAAGAAGTGTGCTTAATTTTAGTGAATGTGCACTTGTGGTGTACTTCAAATCTTAGAAGTACATAAAAAAGTGTACTTGCAGATAATATTATATTAAATGCACTTAAAGAACACACTCTCATGACTAGTAACCCACAGAAGTAACTTTTAAAAAAGTGCACTTTATAATAATGTCAAATTAAAAGTTTTACTTTAAAGTACACTATAAATCAAGGCTTGATAATCTTTTGTCATGCATTTATTTTGATGCTGACTAACAAACTAAAGCATATGTAAAGTACTTGAGTAGAATTTTAACTTACAGTGAATGCACTAAATTGCAATTTCATCATTACAAATGTGTAATTACAAATACACGTTTCAATAGAAATTAAAACTTAAAATTATCTAAAATATAATTAAAGTATATTTTAGTTTATCATAAATGCTTGTCAGTACATTCAGCAGTAAAACTTGAATCATATTTCAAAAACAATAGAATTATGAAATTACATATAAAGATGCACTACGCATAACACTCCTTGAGTGGATCAAAAAGCACTCTTAAGTTTAATGAATTGTATTTAATATAAATTGAAATGATAATACATTTTCTTTTGATTTCTGTAATGTGTTATTTTAAATGTATGCTGTACAAGGGTTAATGAATCTTTAAAGGAAGAAAAATAACAGCAAAAAAACACTAAAATTAATAATAATAATAATAATAATAAACAGCAACTGTTTGGTTACCCACATTATTCAAAATCTCTTCTTTTGTGGTCAGCAGAAGAAATTAATTCATACAGTTTTGGAACAACTCGAGGGTGAGTAAATGATGACAGAATTTTCATATTTGGTGAACTATCCCTTTAAACAGAATTTAAGCCATTATCACTACAACATTATTTTATATGTCAAGGCAATTCTATTCATGCAGCATAAATAATTTAAGCATAAAGCATAAATCTTTTTATTTTTTCTTCACAAACAAAATAATATAAAAAAATGACTTGATATATAAAGGGACCAGTCATAGTTTGTGTAGGTGTGGGTAGATGTGATATCAGTGAGAGCAGTGTGAGAGTGGACATTTATTCACAGACAATACACTGACAGGAAATACTGACAAGAAATTAGAGGAAGCTGTGAGTAGGAGGCTTTGTGGTCTGACTTTCTGTCTGCCAACATGTAACACTGTAGCTACTGATTAATGCATGAACAGCTGCGTCTGTACTCACAGGCAGTGTATAATAGTGCGTCCATCGCCTTCCTCACATTCCTCCTGCCATTTGTCCACCTGGAGGATCAGCTTGAGGAACGAGCGCTTGGAGGCGGGAACTTCCCTATGACCCGCCCATCCCAGGTACTGGAACTGACGGACCATCAGGTAACCTTCCTGAGGCTTAGGACACACACACACACACATCAATGTGACTACACACTTCTGCCTAAGACAGGTGTACGGCTCTGCACTTTGTTGCTTTGCCAAAATAATCAAGGGTTTCAGAGACGTACGGAAAAACTCACCCGGGTCAGATTGCATATCCTGAAAAGACGACTAATGACATCACAGTCCATAGAGCAGGATATGCAGTCCACCTGTACAGGGCCGTATCTTAGCATTCCCTCCTCCGGCCAGTACTGAGGACAACCCTGTACACACCGATTACACACGGATCAAACACACACAGGAGCCACTGACAGTAACTCTGGTGTTGCATTAAGGGAATAGTTCACCCAAAAATGAAAATGTGTTAATAATGTGCTCCCCCTCAGGCCAGCCAAGATGTAGATGAGTTTGTTTCTTCATCAGATTTGGAGAAATGTAGCATTGCATCACTGTCTCAGCAATGGATGCTCTGCAGTGAATGGGTGCCGTCAGAATGAGAGTCCAAACAGCTGATAAAAACATCACAACAATCCACAGCACTCCAGTCCATCAGTTAACATCTGGAGAAGACAAAATGCTGCATGTTTGTAAGAAACAAATCCATCATTTAGATGTTTTAACTAAAGTCCATAATCCACAATATCGCTTCCTCCAGTGAAAAAGCTACCTCGTCTGAATCTGGAGAGAAATAAGCACAGATCAAGCAACAGTTTAAAGGTAAAATGTCTTACTGACAGTTTTGTTTCTTACAAACACAGAGCTTTTGGGTTCACAAGACATTAACTGATGGACTGGAGTGGTGTGGATTACTTGTGGATTATTGTGATGTTTTTATCAGCTGTTTGGACTCTCATTCTGACGGCACCCATTCACTGCAGAGCATTGCTGAGCAAGTGATGCAATGCTACATTTCTCCAAATCTGAAACAAACTCAGGTACATTTTGGATGGCTTAAGCGTGAGCACAAATGTTCATTTTTGGGTGAACTATACTTTAAACCCGCCAAGAAACATTCAATTTGGCTCAACATAAACAGATTGTTTTCCACTGACTTCCCTAGCTAACCAATTGATCTTTCATGTCTTCTCATTCCTTAAATATACCTCGCACAAACATTTTATTAAGAGTATTAACATCATACTTCAGCTTTAATCTCACCTGAGCCAAATCGATCTCGTTTAGCATGACGATGGAGGTGCATCCATAATCATACACCAGCCTCCAGAAGTCCTTGACGGTGTTGGGTAACGGATGCTGGGTCACGATGAACGCGGCCGGCTGCCTGTAGCTCTGCATAACATGGAACATAATGTACTTCCTGCAAACACTCTGCTTTGTGACACTTACGCACAACCAAGACGAAGATGGGACGTTTTTCAGGATGGCCGATGTGTGAATGTGTATGATCATGCACGGACCACAGTGAGCGCTCCACATGAGAGAATGATATAAACGTGTGTCGTTTCCAGTGTGTGCGTGTCTTTGTCGATGTGTCAGTGTGATAAACGTTCATCTCTGTAAGTGATGCATTCTTTTTTTTTTTGCATGCTGTAGCAAACCCAGTATAGAGAGGTTGAATGGAAAGTGCTGACATCCCACTAAAGCCACGAAACAAATCCAGTCTAACAGAGGCAGAACTGAATCAGAAATTACCTGGTATTCTTCTGACGGCTTGGTTAAAAAAAGTCCAAGCGTTTGTGAAGCGTACGAGGAAGCGATTTAAAATTACCCTCTAAAATCACAACTTTTTGAGTTCTGCTGTCAAACTAGCTGACTCCGGCTGTGCGATCACCATCTCCCAGGGTCAGAGGTCATCGGCTGTGATCTACAGATCTGTTGTGGGACGTCACTGACTGAACACGCTTCAGATATACAGAAGATGGTGCACATTGAAAAACAGTGCTCTACGTTAGATAGACACTACATGACTTACACAGACAGCCATGACAAATGAAGCACTAGGAGATGGATGCACTGTCACTCACAGATCAATCTAGATACTAAACAAATGCATTCTCAGATTAGAAACTGAAAATTCACTCGCCCTCACGTCATTCCAAACCCGCTTGGCTTTCTTTCTTCCGTGGAAGACAAATTTGGAGGAATCATTAGGCGGCTAATTTCCATAATATGAAATCATGCAGTGACCAAGAGCTGTGATGCTCAAAAGACTATTAACACTAGCTCATACGACTCAAGAACTCTGATGGTAGCGTTGTGCGTGGAAAGTCTTATTTGTGCTTGTGTTCAGTTAAAAGTGCACAAGTGTGTGGTATGGGCTACTTTTGTGGTGGTTTCTTGTCCTTTTTTTGGAGCTTGACAGAAAGTGTTCACCTTTCACTTTTGTTGTATGGAAATAAACACCTGTGGTAAACATCTCCAGTTGTTTTCCACAGAAAGAAGGAAAACCATCCAGATTTTAAACGACTCGAGGGTGAGAAGTGATGGCAGAATGTTCAGGGTTTGGATGAACTTGTCCTTTAATAAATGACAAAATCAACGCTTTCAAGCAAGAGATTCACAATTACACTTACCTCGCCCTTTAAAATAGTTTGGACTTTATTATTTTTGAAAACCCAAATGAAAGAAAGTTCAATTTAGGACCACATACAGCCATCAAGAAGAATTCATTAATTACGCTACTGAAAAGAAGCTAATTGAATGCTTTATTATGTCAAGACAAATAATCGTGACACTAGCACCACGTTACGTGGCTCATAACAGAGCAACTGGAAAAGGTTTGAAAGTGGCTCACGCTAACATCTGTCCCACTCAAAGGACTTGCCACCTGGATTTGTCTCTAGCTTTCTGTAGCTCCGTTCCAAAATCCAATGAGAGATCTCACTGTCTACTATCTACACTGACAGCTGCGCTCTAAAGCAGCATGGAAACTCACAAATAACTGATCTGAGATGCTGCATGTCGGCACACAAATGAGGGACTGACTCAAGAGAATCCACAGCATAAATCCATTATTTTAAATCCATATTATCAATATGTTTACTACAACTTTTAGGATGGGTAATACTAACAGAAATGTGTGTGTATTTATTCTGGGACTGGTCCTCAAATGTTGCCTCTGTCGGCAGCTCACTAGGTTTTGGAACAGAGCGTGTGTCTAACATAAAGGAGATGAGGAAAAGAGTGAGAGCGAGGAAGCCATACTTACATCCATGAGCGCTGCATTGATGTAGTTGCTGCTCTCTCCGTCGATGGTGATGAGGAAGGGCAGGCAGCGGTCGGGTGGGAGGTTGTCCATGAAACGGTTCTTGTCGTGATTTCGAGGAAGGAGTGCAATGCTGCAATCTTCAGGCTGAGGTTGAGGAGTCACTGAGTTCAGCGTCTGCACAGGAGAGAGAGTGGACAATACCAACTGAGAATGGAAGCAAGATCTTTTGTTGTTAATGTCAAAGGCCATGTGTCCAATCCAGTCTACTCAAATGAACCAAATGCCAACATAGACAGGTTGTATGGCACACGTGCATCCTCAAAAACTATGAACAAAACTACACAAGATAAAAAAAGAATAAAAAAACAAAACAACGCAGACGTTAAATAAGGGGTTTTAAACACACTGTTTTGTGCCGTCAATTATTGGCTACAAAGAACATACATGTTGAAAAACCACCAAGAAGTGTTTAGAAACCAAACACTGAATGATGCTGCATATTGTTGGGCCTATGCAGTTCATAGTGATATTAATCAAATCATGTTTGATTATAAGGAATTATTTGTGGAACTGATTTTGTATTTTTGTGTTGGGTCTTCACTTGATGTCCATGCAAAATCTGGGTCCTGAAGGAAAGCCAGCAGAAAAGCACAGCCATAAATAATAAGAAACAGCATTTGTCAGGTACCTGGAATTCGTCTTTGAGGTGAGAGGAATTGCTCTGAGAATCGATGCGGATCATGTCGTAGTACGCAGCTTTGAACTCGCACACGGGAATCGCCGTCTCGCCACACAAACACGCCTCCAGGATGGCATCGTGGATGAAAATGTACTGCTCCTGAGAGCCAGAGGAAACCAGCGGTTGTGTGTCGTCAGTGCATGCGCTTTCATTTTTGACAACCTTATTAGTTTGCTCGACATGAGTCCCACTGTTGCAAAACACTTGTATAAAGCAACTAAATACTACCTATTTTTTTTTAAATGCACTCTGAATTCATCCACTCTGAAATGCATCATAGCAGCAAGGCAGAAACTACACCTGCTTTTCTGTTGTTGTTGTTGCTGGAAATATTGCAACAGTGGCTCTTAGTGGTCTCATTCTTCTAGATGTTTTATAGAGGTCAATGCAGGCCTCTGAATATGCACTTTAAGGTACAGTACTGGCAGTAAAGGCAAAAGCATATGTTTTTCGCATACTTCATTAAATGAAATTGTGTAACCTTGAAAGCCAAAACAAAATATGAATCAACATCATGAATTTTATAACCAGTGGCTTCCTAAAAATACATTTAGTAGGGAGGAAATAAAAGAGGAGCATAATCAGTATCATGATTGAAGCTTGCAAACGCACCTCAGTCTGAACCATGTTGATTCGTCTGGAGCGCAGAGCTTTGACGCAGTTGTAGATGTCCACCACCCCTTCTCTCTCTGCCATGTCCAGCATGATGTCAATCACGATGTAACATCCGGTCCGGCCCGCTCCCGCACTGACACGGACAGAGCAGGGAAGAAAAGCATCATCTCACTGATCAAACAATGCCAGCTGAGAGACAAGAGCACGTGTCTGTGAGCAGTGGCTCACTCTTTTATAAACACTACTCCTTTAAAAATCAGAGCTATTCTTAAAGCTTCATTTTGTACAAAGATAAGGTTTAAAGACACTGTTTTGATTAAGAACCAAGCACTTGTGTCAGGATGCTCAAAAAACAGTGTGAGACATCATTGGATGGCTATAACGCTGGTTAATTCATGCAAACTGTCTAAAGCAGTGGTTCTGTCTTTTCTATGAAATTTCCAAGGCAATTTTTTTTTTACATTTTTTTAATACAATAATGTATACATCCTCATAAATATGAAATACATTGTGTTCAAATCTAGGCAGTTAAACTAGGTTTACTTCAGGTTTATTTCTTTGCTTAATGTCTTTGTTAAAATTATATCTGCATTTTAAAATATTAAACATTTATACTACACAAATTTCATGGAATAATTGAAAAAGGTTATTTGGTTATTTATTTTCTAGTCGTGGTGTCACAATACCGGTAAAATGACATAATTCTTAGCACCAATTCTCACCAAATGCACTGGAAATATTTAACTACTGTTTAAAAATAAAAATATTAAATAATAAAAAAAAATTACATGTGTTAGCTAAATATTAATGCTAATAATAAGTAAATTATACAGCAACCGATATTTTCCAAATAATGACAAGAAAAGTTAATTGAAGTGAAGAACAAAGAAATACATCACATGTAATAGAGCGAAGAATGCTTTTATTATTATTAGTTAGCCATCACTGATTTGTTTTCTTTTTCTGGTTAATATTGTTGTAGCAGATCTTTTCGTCTGAATTCACAATGCAAGACTTATACATTTTACATTTTGACATACAACATTTGCTGACATCTGTCTGTTGCTATGGTTATCACTGCAATCCGCGTTTTGCCGTTTGACTGAACAGCAGCATAATGCCATTAAAACAAAGACAGTAGCAATCAAACACTGCTGAAAGAAAAAGAAAGCTGCATCATGGGATTGTTCTTTTTTTTTTTTTTTGCATGCAGCAATGCAGATGAGACCACATCCTGTTCTTGGGGCATGAACGACAAGCAACGTGGTAATGTAAAGGGGTAAAACAGTTTCTGCCAGATGTGTTAAATGAGCTGAGAATCAGAAGTACAAAGAGTCATAAGAGCTGCTGTGACTGGCCAACAGTGTCAGATGTGGACGCTGGCAGAAAGAAGTGTGAGCATGACAAAATAACACAACCAACCACAAGACCATTCACACGTGCAGATGAGCTGGGTAAGACCTTAAGAACAGGAAATGATGTCATAAACCAATGACAATGCATTCTCCTCTACAACACGAGAATCGATCTCGACAGAGACGGACCTCATATAAAACATCAAGCTCTGGATCTGTGGTTTCTTCTGATGCTGTACTGTTCATTCAAATAATAGTTCACCCAAAAATGAAAATTTCCTGATAATGTGCTCCCCGCAAGGCCATCCGAGATGTAGATGAGTTTGTTTCTTCATCAGATTTGGAGAAATGTAGCATTGCATCTCTTGCTCACCAGTGGATGCTCTGCAGTGAATGGGTGCCGTCAGAATGAGAGTCCAAACAGCTGATAAAAACATCACAATAATCCACACCACTCCAGTCCATCAGTCAATGTCTTGTGAGGAGAAAAGCTGCATGTTTGTAAGAAACAGATGCATCATTGAAATGTTTTAAATATAAACCATTGCTTCTGTTGCTTGATCTGTCCACATTTCTCTCCTGATTCAGACACAATGACTTTTTCACTGGAGAAAGCAATATCATGGACTTGGAAGCCACTGTTTACAGTTAAAAACACCTTGATGGATTTGTTTCTTCCAAACACATAGCTTTTCACTTGACAAAACTATTGTGATGTTTTATCAGCTGTTTGGACTCTCATTCTGACGGCACCCATTCACTGCAGAGCATCCATTGCTGAGACAGTGATGCAATGCTACATTTCTCCAAACCTGATGAAGAAACAAACTCATCCTAATCTTGGATGGCCTTGCGGGGAGGAGTACATTTCCAGCAAATTTTCATTTTTGAGTGAACTATTGCTCTAAAACATGAAGAGTTCTGAAATCCCGTTCTTGTCTTCAAACCAGTACAAAGCAATTATGACGTTTCACTAGCAATATTTTTCAGCCACTTTTACATTTAAAAACTGTCAAATCGTTGTAAAATTTACAGAATGAATTTTCTGTTATTCACACCTTTTTATGTTTGATTCATTTTGCTACTATTCATACTCCACCAAATGCTGGCATTCACTGCAAATGATCTTTGAACACTTGATACTGCAGACTACATTCACGTTCACATGACCTCTACATTTCCAGCACAAAGGCTGTATGTGTGAAGGCATCGAGCATGTGTTGATGCACTGTACCTGCAGTGGACGACGATAGGCCCAGCGGTGGGAGGGTTGGACATCTTGACTCGTCTGATAAATGACAACAGTCCTGTAGCGTGATACGGTACTCCATGATCGGGCCAGCCAGTGAAATGAAATTGCTTTACCTCTCGCACCTCATTAAAACCCCTCTGTGAAAATAAGAACAAACATCCACAAAACACCTGAGCACCTGAAAAAAATTATTTACTTTCTCAGCAATTACAGTGGCCCCAAAAAGTATCTGGACACTTTAAGTCACACTAATGATAAATATATCACTGCAAGTGTAGAGAAAGATGCACAAACACATTTTACAAGCTAAACATTATTTAAAAAAATGACTTCATTCATCCACCTGCAATTACCAAAATGACTGTTATAAAAATATATGTATGAATAAAAGTGACGTTAGTGAAAAGATGCAGATACAGATTCTTCATCAAATGTTCAAGACTCCAAATACTTTGTGTGGCCACTGTATATGGAGTACATGAGAAAATTAAACACATTTCCTACAAAATGTTAGACAATAAACTTTAAACATGATCAAATAATCTCACCCTCTCCAGAGTGAAAGTCCTGACAACGTACTCTGCGAGCGGCTCGACCTCCACAAATGTCACTTTAAAATCTCCATAAACTTCAGCATCATCTGGCCAGTACTTATAACATTTCACCTACAGGAGGATGAGACCAATCAAATGTAAAATCCAGAGCAAATCACATGCACTCTAATGCAACATGCTGCATGTTCATTAAACACATTTTTATGAATACAGTACCTATGCTGGCTGATGAAAAAGCAACACAGATGCATCTTGATTCACAGCAGTCTGATTTAATTCTGGCTTAAATCTTCAAGCTGAAATCTTACTTGAATGCTTTAAGACGTGAGCGATACTGTATTCAGTCTTAACACTTGCTCCAAGAGTATTACGATATAAAGACTGCTGTGAAATCATTTCAAATGCACGCACTAGTGCATAATGATAGAATTAAACAAAGCGTCCACAACGTGCACAGATATACAAAACACATACATAGACATGCTTCAACCCTTTGAGAAGTGTCAAAAAAGCTTTTTATTATTATTTCTTTCTTTTGATTTTGGGGTGAAATATGACCTGCTCCCGACAAGCTTTGTGAGGTTCACCCATTTTTGTCACTTTGAGCAGATGAATAACTAGTCCTCGCTCACTCTTCAAAAGGTTTTTACAGGCAGGGGCCTTCAGGTCACATCACAGAGCACAAGAACACACAACGACCCCTCAGCAGGCAGTATAGTGACATACCCGGCCCACCTCCACTAGGTTGGTTACCATCACGATACAAGCCGACTGCTCTTGCCAGATCATCCTCCAGAAGTCGTACACCGTCTCGTGGACAGGGCCTGTGGGAAAGCCAAAAGTTCGGCTTTATTTCTCTAAATCTATGTTTTTGTTCAATATCCATCAATATTTCAGTCATAAACATTTGAACACGTGGGAGAAAAAAAGGCATTATTTGACAGATTTTGTGATAAGTAATGTAGAATGTATTAGTGGTATATAACTAATAATCACTGTGGATCGTTCACTGTAAAAAGTGGTAACCTGCAGTTGTTACTTTAAAGAGATATTTCGGTAACACTTTAGTATAGGGACCGATTCTCACCATTAAAGGGTTAGTTCACCCAAAAATTTAAATTAGTCCATAAATTACTCACCCTCAAGTCATCCTAGGTGTATATGACTTTCTTCTTTCAGACGAATCCAGTCGGAGTTATATTAAAAATTGTCTTTCATCTTTCAAGCTGTTTAATGGCACTCAGCGGGTGTTGCATGCATCAGTCCAAAAGAAGTTAAATAAAAAGCGCCCATCTATAAGAAAAGTGTCTTACACGGCTCCGGGGGGGTGAACAAAGGCCTCCTGTAGCGAATCGATGCGTTTTTGTAAGAAAAATATCTATATTCAAAACGTAATAATCACTTTAATGTAGCTTGCGCTCACTGTTGTAAATGGAAGCAGTTCCGGGTGGATGACGTATGGAGGTCGGCTTTGCGCATGCGCCGCTCAGAAGTGACACATGCGGAAACGCAGCGGAGAGATCAAAACAAAACAACGGTCAC